TGGTTCCCCAAGAGGAGAGTTTTAAGGTTTTTTTTTTTTTTTTTCCCCCCCCCCGGGGGTTGGGTTTTTGTTTCCTTAAATTGAAAAAGCCTGGGGTTTTTTTCTGGTTTTTTCCCCCCCTTTTGGTTTTTTTTTTTGTTATTTTGGCAAGTTCTTGAAAAAAAGGGGGGCAAAGGGAAAAGGGGGCAAATAAAATTTTTCAAGCCTAAAGAAGCCGCCCCGGCCACCGGGCCGGGGGGGGGGGGGGGGGGCGGGGCGGGGAGGACAGGCATAGAAATACTCCATCTGAGGCAAGGAAACGATTCCTGCTGAGGCAGACAAGGCAGACCGTGTTACCGAGATGTCATCCGATCTGTCCGACTGAGTGTGACGGGCGTGGCAGGTACAGCAGTACAGCCATTTGTCCGACTGAATGTGAGAGGGGTGCTAGTGCTAACGGACTTGGTCGAGCGCAATGGTTGACGGGAATCTTCCTGTGGAACCTCTAGAATGTGACGGGGGCGGGTGGTAGGTCTACAGAATCAGACATTGGTGTTGGCCGTTGATGCTTGCATCGCCAAATCCCCTTCATCCCATTGCTTCCGCCCCAAAATCACAGGCCACAACGTGCAACATTCCCGGCGCGGCAATCCAAGCAGTAAGTACTTCACTCTTTTGTTCATTCACGTAGGCACCGCCGCGACAAACCAGACACCGCCACCGTGCCAGGTAAAGGAGCCTCAGGCGGAAAAGAATAAAGTTAATTGCTTCTTCTGTGTTTTCTGCTCACGTGTACGGCACACCCGATCGGCATGACGCATCCGCGCGATGCTCAATAATAATAAAGTCACAAGCTAGGGTACACCGCTGATGCGGCTGCTGTACAGATACCGCGTGCACTTCGCACACCACTACCCTGTAGGTGCGAGAACACGGATGATGCACTGTTGTGCGGTCCAACGGCAGAGGGCGTACGGTGAAATACGAACATGAGGTGGAAAAAAAAAAACCGACTGGTGCCACGAACTGAAACGCTCTGAAACAACGCACACAGATGATCGATTCTTTAATCAGCTGCGCCCATCTCTGCATCTCCGAGTCTGTGCTTGAGCCCTATACGCAGTGCTTGGAGGAGGTCGAGCATCAATGCGTGCATGTTTTCCGCCCAACAATACTAACGACCCTTCGCGTTTGTCTCTTGTGGATTCAGCGATGCATGTCGGACGGAGTTTCCGACACTGGAGACACCAGATAAATTACTGCATGCATCAGTAGATGCGGTGCGGCACCAAATAATGTGCTTGAAGCGTTTTTTTTTTTTTTGCTCTACCTCTGCCATCTGCTTTGTTTGGTCGCGTTGATTGCCGGTTCCGTCCGCGTCTTGCGCTGGGGCCAGTCTACTGCTGTAGACCTATGATAAAATACCTTGGGCGTACTCCATGTTGTGTGGCGCACCAGCCCGAAGGGTATGGAGTACTTACAGTAACAGGCGGGAGGGGGGAGCAGGAAGTGGGAACATTTTGTTCGCCTCTCCCCCGGCCGCGGTGCTTGCGCGATTCCCGCGCGATGAACTCGACGGCTCCCTCTCAACAACGTGTCCGCTCACGGCTATGCGCTCAACACGCAGATGCGATGGTTCACTCCCGATGAGAGACTCGAATCCGCAATCCAAAGCAAAAGGAGGATCAACTCCGAAACCTACGATATGTATAATAACCAAGATGCATCCAAGATACAAGAAAAGAAAGAGCCAACCGCAAGCAAGCGGCTTACCAGTGGCGAAGGAATGACCTCCATAATGCGGTAGTAGTTGTTTTTTGATGGAGGCAGGCCGGATAATACTTTTGCCCGGACGAATGTTTTGGTGGAGCCAGAGAGCCAGGGCCGGAACAATCCGATGTCGATTAATTACAAAAAATGTCAGTTCGGACGTTCAGATGCTCGGGTCTTACGAACGAATAATGATGAATAAACCTTTTGGTCTCTCCTCTGCTCCTCTGGTCCCCCCCCGCTGTCTACATGCCTACAGCAGTCAGTACTATTACGGGTAAGCATTTGGGGGGGAGATACCCCAGCCACACGGTTGCACACAACACACGAATCAATGTCGCTCGACTGGGCAGCAATATAGCTACCACGTCCTCTCGCTGTAGCCGCGATCTATCTTATCCATCCGTGCTTGGGTGCCGGTGACGAAAGAAACTGATGGAGCAAGTCATCATCCCATCATGGGCACGTACTACCGCCGGATTTTTCCTACGGCAAGTCCTAGGCTCTTCTTGTGGCAGGAGGAGAGAAGAGAATTTCACATCTTGCCTGCCGGCCTGTTGTTCCTGTTCTGATTAGTGGCAAGAGGCCCACAAACGCCAGCTCCACAGGGGGCGTGCTGATATATGACGGGAACGTCGCTTGTATCGGGGCAGCTAGCTCTCTCGCCACATGATTATTATGGTATTATCGGTCACGCTATATCTGTTGCGGCGGCTGCTCCCGCTCCGTGTATTGTTTGCTGCTGTGTGGTTCAACTTTGGACTATCGTACGCATACCGAAAATACTGCGTTCATACCAACGCTATCGGCATGGATGTGGATTTCGACTCAGCTGCTTTCACACCCCGACTAGAATTACGACGACACACACGAGAACAAGAACCTCACCGCCGAGCGACCCTTGGCGTGTATCACCACGCAGCACCACTTCGCGTCCACCCGGTCCACGTCCCGCACCGGAATCTTGGTCTTGAAGTAGGGCGGCAGCATGCCGCACACCGCGAGCTCCCCGCCCAGCTCGTTCAGCCTCAGCAGCTTGCGGCTCTTTCCGCCCAGCCCCGTAGCATGCTTCACGACCGGGAGACCCTTCCCTCTGCCCAGCAGATCCATGAGCTCACGGACGGCGTCGTGGTCGCTCAGGTCCGTGAGGATGGTGGGGCTGTTGGACACCGGAGCTCCGAAGTCGGAAGCGGTTACGACGGACGTGTCCGAGAGGGAGCGCTCTACGATGATGGCCCCGTTCCTTCTCGTCTCGAGGGGAGCCGACGAAAACCGAGCTGGATTGAACGCCTCGTCGTTGTTACTGCTGTCCCCGCCGCCCTGCTGCTGCTGCCGTGGCTCTCCTCCACCCGTGGGGCGCTTTCTCCCTGTTCGCCTACCCTTGCCATTTCCTGCTCGGCCGTTCTCCGCTGCTAGTGTCCGCGCTGCGTGCTGCTGCTGGTCGCTGTTGTCCTCCTCGAGACGGTAGAAGCCAGACGAGGTCGTCGATGAGGCGCTGGCGGTGGCAAGGGAATGTAACTGAGAATTCTGCGGTGACGATCTCCGTCCCTGGGAAGGCGTGGCCGTAGAGTTGACTCCGACCGGGGGAGGGCTCGTCCAGATGATGTCCTTGAACCCAGAGCTCAGCGGCTTCTTCTTCTTGGGGCGGACAACGGCCTGCTGCTGCCGCTGCTGCTGCTGCTGCTGCTGCTGCTGCTCGTCATCTCTCGCACGCTGTTTGTGAGAAGCACCTTGCTGTCGAGAGTCAAACGCAACAACCGGAGGCTGCCCCAAGCTTCGAATCTCGTTGTTGTCCGCCATTGTTCTTGGCGACATGGCTAGGTCACCGGCCGCTGCTGGTGAGCGTGGCTCGCTCGTGGTCACCTTCTATATAGCGACCGTGGCTGTGTGATGTGATGAAGTGGGGAAGAGCTTGGGATCAAATTTGTCGGGGGGAGGGCGGGGTATCTTCATATATATTCCAGATGAAAGAAAAAAAAAAAGAACGGTATATTTTCCAAAGAAAATTACGCCGGCGGCACGTCTCAATTTACAGCGGTACTGCTCCAGACCAAAGTCCAGCAGGGCTGTCCGGAGAGTTCACGCTGGGCATTGCACATGGCACCGTGCCTCCATCCCTCCCTCGAGCGAGTCCCGTTAGAGGAACATAGGTACGAGATATAGGATAGCCCCTTCCGACAAAGTAAGAGCCCGAGGAGCTAAAGAGTCGAAAACCAACATCAGGGTTGTACATGTGTCCTTCTAACGCACTTTTTGTCATAGAGGTTGGTTGGTTGGACCACGCACCCACACGATTTGTGTGTGTCCAAAATTATCATATTGAAAAGTTGGACATAGAGCGGGTGCTGCAGCAGCATGCATGCACTGCTCCCCTGTGGTAGTCATGTGTATCAACGGGCATCGGATGTGTGTGTATGCACGATGCATAGCAAAACGTGAGATCTCCGATGCTCGCTCAACTCCATACTCTACTCCGATGCTGCCTCCCTGTAAATCCATCCGGAGAAAGGGGCGACGAGAGCGAGGAGCTAGCGAAGAGAGCGAGCTACCAGCGAAAGGAGAGATTACGATTAAGGAATAATATTACGATGTTTCTGTTGAAAGTAAAAGTCATAAGAAGGCGCTTCGTGTTGAAGCCACCTCGACTCTTGCAGATCTTTCGCGGATGAGGAGAGGAAAGTTGTTGCTCCACTCTGCTCCTTCGGGCTCTCTGGCTCTGTGGGTACTTTGTGTATTTGCGGGAGGAGGGGCCAACTTGGCGGGGTGGGGGCGGGGGAAAAAAACGTTGCTTGATTTTCCCCACCGGGGTGATCCACTTCTTCTCCGGTCGATGGTATGCATACAAAATGCACCTCCACAAATATATCACATCATCATCTTCATTCAGGCAAAAGTTTTGTGGAACAAGAATTCGCTGCGACCCTTTGTGACGATCGTTACGATTGGTATGCACAACAGCAAATCAGCGGTGTGTAGTGTGTAGTCGATGTGTCCTGCTGCTGTGGTGGTCTACGTGGTTGCGGGGCGGCGTCAACTGCAGGACCACACGTGCGAGTACGTTCATTATCGATGTCTGATGTGTTGTAATTTTCCGGCCAACTGTATTTCGCACCTCTTCGAAGTTAGACTATATGAACCAATCCACCAGCTCTTTTCTTTCGAAGGGATGCCACACAGCACTTCAGCAGCAAGCAGTAGAGTAGCAGAAAGGTCCTACTACCTTTATTTACCCGGGTGCAGAAGATAATCTACGCCCAAATCTTGTGAGAGTTTCATCAGTCTAACCCTCTATCATCATCGTACACAGCAGTAGCACAAATAAATCTTTGAACGTCCGTCTACGGGGTGAGAGGCCAACAAACGGTAGTGGGGTGAGAGTTGGACTACAGGTAGCGCCCGCCCCTTGACAACTTGTTTCCTCCGCGGAAATTAGTACCGATAAGTCATGCATTTTTCATGTCGAATCGGTGTGCGGAGTGCGGAGTCAGTCGTCGTCCCCGGGCATCATCTCCAAACGCATTTATGTATGCTATCTACACTCTTTGAAGGTGTTGGCCTATGCCACTCTCTTCGTACAGCAGTAGTGGGTGGCGCCCCCTAGTGTTTACGTCCGGTTCTGTTGAGTCATGTTTTCTGCGTACAATTCCCCCCCATGTAGAGAGAAAATACTGAAACGAAACCGGCGAGGCGAGCCTGCTGTGTTCATCACGTACAGCCGTATGCGTTTGACAATAAGCAAACAACGCCCCTCCCCTCCCCCAACGACGCGCCCCCGTCGCCGTTCAGGGAGCACAGCATCTACCGCCTTAACTCCCTCGTTACAGATACCCCCCAACTCAACCCCCGCTTCTGCCGCAACAACAGAAAAAAAAACTACCCTCTCCGTCTAGCTCGAGCAGCAACAACAAGTGCCACCGCCGTGCTGCCAACTACCAGGAGCGAAAGCGCCGCGAGCCTCCGCCCCCCCCCGTCCGGAAAGGCAGCATCGAACAGGTTCCTTCTACTAGACGACGACGGCGATCGTTCGCCGGCGGTCCCCCGCAGCCCCTTCCTTCCAGTGCGGCTGAGGTTGCCGTTGGCTCTCTTGCTCGCGCCCGCGACTAGGTCCTCGATGTCTCCGCCCGAGTTGCCGCCGCCGCCGCCGCTGCTGCACCCGTCGCCCGACTTAGCCCCTGCGGTGACCACCTTGACCGCCAGCTGGCCGCACGCCCCGTCGATGTCTCTGCCGTGATGTCTGCCCCAGAGGAAGAGGCCCAAACGAAAGCGCGATTATAGCCACGTGGCAAGCGGGGCGGCGACAGCGGGTTCGCGTGCAGATGGCGGCAGTTTCAGAGAGGAGTGCTTTGATGTGGGTCGGCGATAAAACTCTTTTCTATGATAGAGATGGATTCGTAGTGTCATATTAAGAAAAAAAAAAAAAAAACGGAGCCGGTGGCCTGGGCTGACTTTCTTGCCCTCCCTGAAAATGTCCCGTTCGATTAAGACAATATCGTTTGTCGCCCACACTACCCCGTGGGCCGATTCTCCGCACTCAAGTAGAGAGCGCTCGGTCGAGTCGGACCGCCTTCGCGCGACTGAAAAAAATATGAGCAAATAGAACAGAGAGGGGGCACGCAGACTCTTTTCCCTAACCCTACCCCATCTTCTCCAATATTATGCTTTGATCCAACATGTTAACACAATACGAAAAACCCTGCGATTGCTACTGGTCGATTCCGTGGGATTTACACAATACGAAAGACCCTACGATTGCTACTGGTCGATTCCGTGGGTCGACAACAAACAGGAAAAACGGCGCCCCTTTCGCGAAGCCGCGAAGCGCGGACGATAGATACCCCCGCCCTCAACGAAACCTCACCTTCGGATCGTCACCAGCAAGCCGTGCTCGTGCACGATCGCTCTGAACTTCTGCAGCGCCTCTTCCGTGGGCTCCTTGAACTCCTCCGACCCAGGGGCGTACGTTGGATTGTATGGGATCAAATTTACCAGCACGTTGCGCCCCTGAAGTTTGAAAAAAAAACGGTTCAGTGTTGGGGGCAGTGGAAGTTTGGGGAGCGAGCACGGACACTCGTTGTTATTGAGTCGCCCCTTCGTAAAGGCGGTGGCTTTTGAGAGCCACTGCTGTCACACCTAAAGGGTAAAAAGCCGCAGCAGCAGAGAGCAAGGGGTGGAAATTGTTTGCTCAAGGCGGTTCGTGCACAGCTCGGAAACGACCTGGGTTGCTTGGGTCGATAGTTCGACGTGGGGATAGTAGGCATTCCTGCGCTCTGGGATAGCGACAGTTGGGGACACGCGCATGGAGAAAGTATGGCGCTGACTCCGGCTTCCGCAACTCGCCTCTCAAAGGCACGGACGGATCAATGTAGACTTCAAAGAACACATCGAGGGGCCGAATAACGAATCAAATCGTCTCCTCTTCGAGAAGGTGAGCACGGAGGTTCAAACAGAGTTTTCTCGCACAAAGAAGGCACAGGCAAAAGCTTATTCAACTACTTGCACAGTACTGGAGCGACAAACGACAACGACTTGAGAGAGGAAAGGAGGCAGGTCGGCCGTTCGCCCACAAAAGTCACACGAGTTCTCCATCTGACCTTCAACAGCTCCCCCAGCTCCCTTCCGCACTCTTCCGTGTCGTTAACCCCCGCCAGCATCACGTACTCGATCAGCGCCCTTCGCCCGGCCCCTCTCCCCCCGACCATGACAACGCCTGCGATAGTCTCCACGCCACCCGCCTCGTCCGAAGCGGCCGCCGCAGCCCCTCCGTCCGCCGCCATCCCTTCCCCGCCCCCACCCTTGTCTTCGCTCTGCCCCCCGCCGTTCTCAACCGGCACCGATTGCGCCGCTGCCTCCCCCGCCGAGTGGCTGGTGGTCGGCGGCGGGGCAACACCGGGACCCCTAAGGTGGCCGTCCAAGGCGTCCATGAGCTTGTCCAGGCGGTAGGCCCTCGCGGAAGGCACGATTCTGTTGCGCAGCTCCTGCAGGCAGTGATGTTGGTAGGGTGTTTAGTGTCGGATGAGGATGGTAGCACATGGGGAGTAGAGCAAGAAGGAGGGGTGGCGGGGGTGAACGCATGCCGTACTCGTTAGATCGTCGACCTCACATCCCTATAATGCCGGGACGGAGCGATATGCCGGGTCTTCGCCGGCCCAGGCTAGGGGAGGGGGGGGAGGGGGGGAGGGGAGTAACATGGGGTGATGATCTCTCTCTCCGGAACTATGATGGAAGCCCTCGACAGGAGACCGAGGACGTACATATTTGTTATGGTGGATACATACTGTCACACGGAAGAGACAAGGAAAACGACGGAGTCGCGAGTGTCACCGATGTTCTCGAGCCTTTTTTGCGCGCACGGGATCATACACGCGACGAAGCGAACGGAGCTCGGTGGCTGGTTCATGCGCTCCATCACGATCATTCACCACCCCCGCGGGGTAGCCGCCGCCGCCGCCGCCGCCGCCACATAGCGGTAGCTTCAAGCGTAGACTCTGCGAACGCAATTGTTGCCACCGACAGAATACATGCGTTTTTGTTTTGCAACAGGCAGAACCAGTGGGGCTTACCTGGTTCGGCGCGTGCAGCGAAAGCGCGAGCTGAGTCTCCGGCGCGTCGATGGTGAGCTGCTTCATGCGCGGCACCACTCCGACCGTAGACAGCGTGATGTGCCTCGGCGAGAGCTTGAACATCCTGCTGTCCGCCATGCCTCGGATGGAAGCCAGCACCGCATCGTAGTTGTTCAGAGGCTCTCCCATGCCTTTCCCCAAAACCAACAACAAACAAGAAAGGAAAGGAAAACAAGGTGATGAGTCACGCAGCGTGCACACAACTGTCTGACTTGTCCATCTAGCTTTGGTTGGTGCGACGGAAGACTCAAGGCTTGTGTTACCTGCGTCCCAATCTAGTTTCTTTCATGTTCCCATACCAAGGCAATATATGACACCACGACGGACTCGGGGGCACGAAGCTTTGCGCACATCGCGGCAGGTTGGATGGACTTGATTGAACCTCTGAACAACAGCATGCTAGAAGCGCACTGGGCACCACCTCACCATCCAGGACACAAAAGCACACACACCCACAGCCGCACAAAGACTGTCGTCATTTCATTGGTCAGTCAGTTAGCACGGTCCATGCCAAAAATAAAGACACACAGAATTGCTTGGATCCAACCATATCATGCACGAAGTAGCTCCGACTCGACCCCCGTCCCTCGCGAGCCGTTCACCCCAGGCGTGCTAGATAGCGCAAATGCGGAACCTCCAAGTGAAACTTACATACATAGCGCATCAGCACCACACAAACGACGCAACAAAAAAAAAAAACTCAAAGTACATGCGCATACAGCAGCATAAACTAAAAACATACTTCGCAGAAACACCAAGGTATCCCTCTGTGTACACAACTCACCCATGAACACGACGTTTCGGATGGGAGACACCCTGGACGCGTGCAAGACCTGCTCCAAGATTTCTCCGGCCGTGAGGTCGCCCTTGAGGCCCATCGTCCCGGTGGCGCAGAAGGTGCACGCCATCTGGCACCCCACCTTTTTCGCGCCGGTTAGGTAAAGTGACGGTTTGGGGGAAGAGGGAAAACAAAACTTGGTAAGCGGCAACCGTTCGTTCTGTCCACCGATACCGATAACAAGGTACTCAACGCGCTGGAACAGAATAACCTCAAGTAGCAGAATGCAAACGAACACCATGTTGTATTCCTAAGACAGAAAATGGGCCGATTTGTGCACACAAATAGATCGATGTCGAAGCAGCAGCAGCAGCAGCAGCAGCAGCAGCAGCAGCAGCATGAATGTAGGATTGTGAAGGGCGAAAGATTTTCTATCCGGTCCATAGACGGACCATAAAAAACATTGTAGAGCACTAACAACAACGCTTGTCATTTGCGGGAGGGAGGCTAGCTGTCGCACTGCCGATCTGTACAGCGAGGAAGAAATCTCGTGCGTGAAAATGAAAGCCACCTTTCGAGACACAAAACCCTACAAAACGAGACTTTGCAAGCGCCCAAGGGTGCGGATGGATGCTCAGGTAGAGGTAGAACGACGTGGACGCCAAACGCTTTCGAGATTATCACGCCGCAATCATGATCATATTTTGACAGGCGGGCAAGGGCGTAGGTGACGTTGACACTTGAAAATTATACTTTGCGCACATCCTTTTTGTCTTGTACGGTTTCGCCTCCTCTTCACACTTCACCTGCGAGGAGACACATAAGGTCGTGCGAGGGTGAGTCCCGTTGTGCTTGATGATCACCGTCTCCACCATCTGCCCGTCTTGAAGCCGCACCTGATGGAGAACGAGGGGGCGGGGGCGGGGGGGGGGGGGG